TCCTACTTTGCAGTCCCTGCATGCCTCATCAAAATGTTATTTCCACTCCAAAAAGCCTCAGCTATTATTCATTCTGCTTTTCCCCCAGTTGCATCACGTTGCTCTCCAAGGCACACAGAGCATTGCCCACTTCAATGGAATGGCTGCTCCTTGATCTTGATGGAAACTCCTTGGCACAAACAACTTAATCACTCAGAGAAGGCTGCTTTTCCTGTCCTTTTTTTTTCCTACACATGTTAGAATCATAGAATTGGGTTGGAAGGGACCCTTAAGGGTCTAGTTCAAGCCCCTGCAATAAGCAGGGACATTTTCAGGTTCCTCAGAGACCCATCCAACCCATCCCAGGGATGGGATATCCACCATCTCAGGGGTTTTTGTAACAACATCAAGGACAGAAATATCAAATCATGTTAACTCTCAGGAGTGGAAAAAAAAACCAGTTTGCAGATGCTGCATGACTTTCCAGGAATACAGCCTTTTCCTCCTGGCACAAACCCAAGGGAAATGCAGTTAACAGGGTTTATATGTGGCTGATTTTCTTCTTGGCAATTAGCCATCAATGTGCAAGCTGAAGCAGAGGCCTGTTTCCCTTTCCCACGTGGTTTGTCACTGTCACTGCTCAGACCTGATTTCAGTTCTGCCTTTGCTTTCAGAAGCTGAGTGTCTTGTGTGCTGACTGGTCTTGCAGGAGACTTTCATGCTACCAGGCAATATCAGAGTCCCTGTATCCTCTTTTTCTTCATTCCTGGAGGTTCATCCCTGGATTTTTTGGGCTGACTTGCATTACTGTGCACTTTTAAAATGTGTACTATGAGGAAACCTGGAATTTTGTTACAGAAAACCCTACACATGCATGATCTTAGCCCACTGCAAGAGCCGGAGGAGCTGCTGTGGTCTCTCAATTTTGTCCTCTGTTAAGCAGGATCTCAATCTTCTCCTAAGCAAGGACATCTTCCAGCACCAGGCATTAATGTAGGGAATGAGGTCCTTTGAGACGTCTCAGCAGTGGCTTGTCAACCACAGGGACCTAAGCAAGACGTGAGTCAGAGACAGCTGAGACAGGTGTGAAGAGAGGCAAAATTTGGGGATCAGACCCCCAGACAGTGCCAGAAATGTATGATCATGGAAACTCAGGCTGAGCAGCAAGGTTTGGGGACACCTGCCCGAGCAGGGACATGTCCACAGGACTGGGGGAGATGTTCTGATCCCCAGTGCCAGGGCTGCCTCTCCTCAAAGCTGCAGGTCAACCCTGCAGCTCACGGCAGAGCCCACGTGCCCCACGTGGGTGCCACCAGCCAAGTGTCCCCACATTGCCTTCCTGCTGCTGATGTCCCCCCAGGGATAATGGACTCCAGGCACACAGGATTCCTGATCCTTGCTGGAGCCATCAATAGCAGCCAGGGCTGTCCTCCCCTGCTCCAAACCACATTCCAATTGTGTTCCATCAGCACAACTGGCATCGACTCTGCTGGGAGCACGAACCTGGGGACAATAACAGGAACAATTGCATGTCCCTGCAGAACATCTGAGGCTGGCTGCTGTGTTTTGGAGCAGAAGGGAGATGCTCAGAAAAGCTCAGCAGGCTGCAAAAGAAGGAAATTTTAATAGCATGTGCTTTTTGATTAAAAAAAACCCAACCAGCTGAGGACAAGCATCCTGAGATGAGTACTAAACTGCAGTGGGTGATTCACAAATCCAGTTTTAGCAAACCTAAGTAAAAATGCCAAGTATGGAAAACTGAAAAGTGTGTTTGGAGATAGCTCATTATCTAGTATCACAGCCTTTGTTTTGCTTCCCACTCTTTCACTACTGCATGGAGTAAAAGGAAACATTAAAATTCATCCTTAGTGTGTTGAAAGCTTCTACTGCTTTCTATGAGTCAGGCCAACTTTCTTACCTTTAATGTTCCCTTATAATTTTTTTATCTATTCCTCTCTTGCCTGTCCTGGTCAATAATAATTGATTTCCAGAATAAGAAACCTCAATACCTGAAATAGCAGTCCTGGCACATCACAAGCCTTTGGCCTCTGTTCAGCCACAATTAACATCATCTGCCCAGTTACTGCATGTACCAGTTGTACTCCAATATTCTGCCAGTCAATCTCAGCAGCTATCAGTCTGCCAGGATGCTGGGTTCTGCTAGGAACAGGATTTCAGCTCTATCTGAGCTCCATTGGCTATGTTTTATTGCTTTGATTGCTTCTGTGCTTTAATAACCAAGAGTCAATCTTGACTTTCAAAACACATCCGTTTCTCCAGAAGCAGTTACTCCCTGCCTCAGCAATCAAATGCCTGCAGGTTCTGTGAAGATATTGCCTGGAGTAATTTCACTGGGGCAGAGCACAGGGAAGGTGGGTGTGAGGGTAGGTGTGGGTCACACCCACCTCTAGAAGTGACCACCATCATCCTCCTCTGTGCCACAAAACCCCTGGTGCTTTGCTCAGGAGTAAGAGGGCTCCTCAGCACCAGTGAAAACTGAAGGCTGGAGCTTTGCTGAAGTGTCTGTGCACCACCAGGGCAAGCCAGGCCTTGCTGTGCTGTCCAGACTGTCCTGGTACTTCAGGCTGGCATGCCTTGATCCCTGAGGAGGAATTAGCAGCAGAGCACACCCTGGCATCTCCCAAAACTTCCCCATTTCCATTGGCAGAACTCTGGTTGGCACCGTGTGACACCCCCAGGTGAGGGACATCCCCTGCAGTCTGAAAGGCACCTTGGAGGAGCAGGGGAACCGTGTCACATCAGTGCTGTGACAGTTTAGGAACTGAAGCACCTGAAAATCAAGGCTGACAAAATGAAGCTGCAGGCTTAATTACCTCCTGGCACCTACACCTTTCAGAGGAGGCTTTAATTAGAAGGTGACTTGTTATTTTTCCAGCGTGGTCCTCACCTCACTGAACACACAGGGCCTGCTCAATCTGGGAGGGCGGCTGCAGCACCCCTGTTCCCTCCCAGCTGTCATCCCAGGTGACAATTTCCTTATTTCCTGGGTCACCAGCCTCCAGGCTGACCTGTGGACATGCACAGCCCTCATGCCTGTTGTGGGTGAGAACAGACACTGTGCCTGAGAGTAGGGGATGGTTGTGGGGGTGGAAAATCGCATTTCCAACACTCACAGGGAGAGGAGAACTTGAACTTTAACCTTCATGTCCCTGTTCAACTGCAAAATGCAAGTTTCTTGTTCCTCCTGAGTTTTGGGATTGGGTCAATGTGCACAAGTGCCTTTGAGCTGCTGCATCCTGAGCCCAGAGGCTCTGTGGTTCTGCTGTGGGACGTGAGGGGAGAGGGCTGCAGCACTGGGCAGGGAAGCTGCCCCTGTCCACACCACTGCTGCCCCTGCAGCCATCCCATCAACACCAGCAGCCTCTGGACAAACCACCCCCACTGGATAAACCACCCCCACTGGATAAACCATCCCCACTGGATAAACCATCCCCACTGGATAAACCACCCCCACTGGATAAACAACTGCCACTGGACAAACCATCCCCACTGGATAAACCATCCCCACTGGATAAACCACACCCAATGGACAAACCATCCCCACTGGACAAACCACCCCCACTGGATAAACCATCCCCACTGGATAAACCATCCCCACTGCTTGTTGCTGTTCCTGGCTTTAAGGAGAGTCTGGCTGCAATGAGACATTTAATTTCCATGGCAGGTTCAAAGCCTCCACCATAGTCACTCCGAGGAACTCAGAGTTGCTCTGACGAAAGGATCACAATGCTGGCAGGAGCATTCAAACCCCATCCTTCATTCTCAAGTCTACACTTGCTTTTTATTCCACCCACACTTGCTTCTTCTCACTGACAGCAGGGATCCTTTTCAATGGCTGTTTCCCCCAATAAGTCCACTAGGAACAAGATTTTGATTTAGAGCACTGGAAGATTCAATAGTGCAACATGCACCCAACAGAGGAGATGTGGGTTTGGACTGGAAGCAACATCAGGGACCTCAGTCACAAGGACAGACATCCTATAAATACACATTTATTGAAATGGGACACTCCTCATGCAGAGTGCTGCTGTTAAATTCTTGAGTGTTTTCCTTTCAGAGGCAGTGTGCTGTCTCTGGATCCAACAAGACATCAAATTAGGACTCCTGGGTTCTGTTTCTGGCCTGCCACTCACCCATGATAAGATACAGGGCAAGTAATATAACATAAACAAGCTTCAGATTTCAGAGTTTAAATATTGCACTGTGGCGTAGTGAGACTGATGGGAAGTACTATAATGGTATCATTAAAGTGTTTTCTGACTGCAGAAGAAGCTGGGAAGACCATGACCTACAAGTCCTGGTGGACACAAGAGTCTTGGGGAAAATTGTGGCTGGGATTGTGTCACTAAAGGCACAGGAATAGAAAAATGGGACTGGGGGATGTGCTGCTCAGCCTTCTCTGCACTGGGGCTGCTTGGTGTCTGTGGAAGGATGGGGGGGGTGAAGAGGTGTTTGGGGAGATGGGAAAGTAACAGTGGCAAATTTTGTAATTCCAGGTCTGGCTCTGACCCACAACAAGAACATCTGACAGTCAGTAGGAATTTTGAATTTTGGCACAAACTCTGCTCACTTTCAACCTAGTATAAGCTGATGTGGTCAAAAAAGCAGTGCCCTTTTATACCATCCCATGACCTGCTCAAATCTGGGCAGTTTTCTTCCTAAATCCAGGCTCTTATGCTCTTTAATTTACAGTTGTTATCATCCCACAGCAGCACTGCATTTTGAGGAACCCCCTGCTCTCATCTCACACACGTTACTGCTCCACTTCTGAACAGCACTTGGGTCTCCAGAGCTTGCTTGCTTTATCAACAAAGACACAGGTATTACACAGGAGCAGAGAAATATTCCAGCTCACAAATCAAATCAGATAATTGAAATCACAGACTGTGCCTTAAAATTAGCCCACTGCATGCCTGAACAGGATTCATATCTCTGTGGGAACTAACCATCTTTTCTCTTTTTCTTTATTTTTTTCCCATTGCTGCTGTTTCCTTTGGAAGGTGATCTTCAGTAAATACTGCAATTCCAAAGATATTATGGACCTTTTCTGCATTGCAACAGGCTTACCGAGGTAGGTCTGTCATTTGTGACATTCATTCCACTTTTGTTTCCTTCCTTTGGGAACAATTTAAAGACAGGCCCCAAATGATTTATTTAGCTGCTATTCAGGCTTGCCTCTCGTTCCAGTCTGCTGGAAGAAGAAACTGGGGCAATCAAGAGCTGGAAAATGTGGAGGCAGGGAATTGAGCCACGGTGTTGGCTGCACATGAGGAACAGAGTGGAATAGAGTAGAACAGAGGAGAAATAATCTAAAATAAAAGCAAGTGAAGAAGCTCAGCACTGAGTACACACAGGTTGGGCACACATACCACTTATATCTCAGCACTATACATTTTTTGCCCATATTGAGTGAAATGCAGGCACATGTTTAGAACCTGGTTTTTAGGGAAAAAATTTGGGCTGACAAGAAGTATTACCATCAGGTAAGGAGCTTTCTCTTTAGGTGTTTTAAAATCTAATCCCAGGTATGGGATAGTAAAACACAAAGCACCCCAGCTGAGCCATTTTATAGAGCATAAATATCTCCAAATCCATTGCCCAGGCCACGTATTTCCTAATTTATGTTGTCTCACAAAGTACCTGTATCCCTCCTGCTGTAATTTTCATTTGGGGAAAATCCAAATAGGATTTGTTCCCTTCAACCTCAAGAGCAGTATCCAGCTGAAACCTCAGTGCTGACAGGGGTCCAGGGTCAGGGGAGGGTGTGTGGGAAAGGCTGGTATGTGGTGGAGGGTGGCATGGTGTAATATCCATCCATCCATCCATCCTGATCCATCTATCCATCCATCCATCCATCCTGATCCATCTATCCATCCATCCATCCATCCTGATCCATCTATCCATCCATCCATCCATCCTGATCCATCTATCCATCCATCCATCCATCCTGATCCATCTATCCATCCATCCATCCATCCTGATCCATCTATCCATCCATCCATCCATCCTGATCCATCTATCCATCCATCCATCCATCCTGATCCATCTATCCATCCATCCATCCATCCTGATCCATCTATCCATCCATCCATCCATCCTGATCCATCTATCCATCCATCCATCCATCCTGATCCATCTATCCATCCATCCATCCATCCTGATCCATCTATCCATCCATCCATCCATCCTGATCCATCTATCCATCCATCCATCCATCCTGATCCATCTATCCATCCATCCATCCATCCTGATCCATCTATCCATCCATCCATCCATCCTGATCCATCTATCCATCCATCCATCCATCCTGATCCATCTATCCATCCATCCATCCATCCTGATCCATCTATCCATCCATCCATCCATCCTGATCCATCTATCCATCCATCCATCCATCCTGATCCATCTATCCATCCATCCATCCATCCTGATCCATCTATCCATCCATCCATCCATCCTGATCCATCTATCCATCCATCCATCCATCCTGATCCATCTATCCATCCATCCATCCATCCTGATCCATCTATCCATCCATCCATCCATCCTGATCCATCTATCCATCCATCCATCCATCCTGATCCATCTATCCATCCATCCATCCATCCTGATCCATCTATCCATCCATCCATCCATCCTTCCATCATCCATCCATCCATCCATCCACCTCTGCAGCACCTCCAGGTGGAGCAGGGGAGGGAAGCCCCTAAATCATCTCCAGAACCCTTCATCACCTCGAGAAGGGGAATCTGCTGCCTGCATAAGGCCCTTGAGCAGCACAGGCTGCATGCAGCAAGGGAAAGTCTTTACCTCTGGACACACAACTTCACAGTACAGGAAAAGTGCAGAAGAAAAATAAGCCAGTCTTTTAATCATGGTTTTATTGCATGACTCCAGCTCTGGGGATTGAAAGATAAAATTGAATTTGCATAAGCTGCTGGACAGAATTAATGCCCTTTGCTGTTTGCTCTATTCCCTCCCATTTGACATTAGAGAGGTTAATAACTCTCATTTTCCTATGATGTCAAAGACTTCCACTCCATCACCCAGGAAACTTTGTTCAGCAGTTTTAATCATTCACAGTCAGGGTGTTCACTGCATATTTGGCATTTTATTTTCATCAGAAGGTTTTCAAAGGAAAATTGCATTTCAACCAGGATCCTGGAGCCAAAGTAAACCTCCAAGGTTTACATCTGAGCATATGAGATCACCCTTAGCATAGTAATTTAAAAAAAAAAAAGGCACCACATTCAGCAAGATATTTGTTTTGTTTGTTTTGGTAAATGAGTAACTAAATAATTTCAAGACATTCATAGCACCAAAAGTCATTCATATGGTATGAGTCAATACATAGCTGCTGAGTCAATGTATCACAAAATATAGCATTTAACAGAAAATATTATTCAGTGAGTCAAAAGAATAAATGAATTAGCAGGGAGCAAGGTCTTCTCTGAGGTCAAAATTATCACACTTCACATTTTACATGGGTGAAACATTGAGCCTACCCTGCCCTGGGCTTTGACTCTTTCTGCTCTGAGGTAACAGAGGTGCCAGGCCAGGAGCAAGGAGAAAAGATGCATCTGCAGGAGGGAAAATGGCTCTGCATCACATGCAGCAGCACAGAATTCCAGCTGGCATTTCTAGGTCAAATAACCCTCTTTGGAACTTGCTTTTCAGGAACACGACCATCTCCCTTCTGACAGCAGACAACTGCATGGTGTCCATTGATCCCACGATGCCTGCCAACACAGAGAGGTGAGCCCTGCTGCCAGCTGCTCCTGCAGAACAGGCTCAGGCCCCGGGGAAGGGAGGGGGTTTTCCTGCAGAAGCCTTTTGTGTGCAGTGGGAGGTGAGCAGAGGGAGGGGGATGGCAGAAGAAATGTGTGCTGGCCTGTAGCACCTGTGCTGGTTGGGAAGATTTTTACTTGTTAAAGCAGGAGTAATTGTCTGAGAGGAAAAAAAATACTTTTGGGTGTTTAATGTAGAACATCTGTTCCCATCCCTCTCTGCTGTCACAGCTCTGTTGTTCCCCCACTCCTGACTGCTCTGCTAGGGCACAACCAGCAGATTACTTGGAAAGCAAACTCAAAGCCTGTAATGAGTAATGAGTTTAGGTCTCTTCATTGCTGGCTTTGGCCCATGTTTCACTGCCATTGCCTTTATTGATCCTGAGTGGTGCAGCCCCAGCAGCTGGGAGGGGGCTCCTGCTCAGGACACAGAGCAAAAAGAAGTTGTGGCTGCCTCATCCCTGGAAGTGTCCAAGGCCAGGCTGGACAGGGCTCTGAGCAGCCTGGGGTGCTGGAAGGTGTCCCTGCCCATGGCAAGGGGCTGGAACTGGGTGATTTCTAAAGTCCCTTCCAACCCAAACCATTCTATGGTTCTATGATTCTGCTTCTAAATCAGAGAATCTAATCATTCTGTTTCTAAATTCTCTGTAAATCAGAGGGTTGTGTGTTCAGAAAAAGTGCCCATTGCTTATTCAGACTCACAGGTTTTAAGAGATCTTGGAATATCTTCAGATACTTCTTTATACTTCTCAGGGGGCACAGATGTGAAATACAAGCTGCATTTTGAGTGTTGCTAACACCAACCCTCTGTGGCTCTTCCAGGTCTCCATACAAAGTGATACCAGTTATGACTGAGCAGCTCTCAGGTAAAATTACCCTTTTGAACTGAATCTGCTAAAGCTGAATTAAGTAAAGGTGAATTTGCAAACATTTGCATGTGGAAATTATGTGGCCATGAGGCAAAAACCCGAAGATGTCATGGTTGTAGCTGCAGCAGAAAAAGAAGTGTTTGATCACAGTGTTCTGCAAGAAAGCTTAAAAAATGTGCCTGAATTTCAATGAATTTGAGGATCAGGTGAGTGGCTGAGTCTAGGGAACTTTCCCAGTGCCTTGCTCTGGTCTGACTCAGCACTCCTGGTGCCCTGGGGAAAGCCTTGCATGGAGCAGTGGGGGTTTTTCAGGCAAGAAAAATGAAAGCCTGTCCTGCAATGTTTTGTTAAACCTGCCCATTCCTCTGCTGGAAAGCTGAGCACAACATTTGAGCCTCATGTTATTTCCAAATGGCTGAGGAGAGAACATAATTTCTGTTGTGGGCATGGTAGCTCCAAGTGTGATAAATATTTAAATTCACCTGACAAGATTAAAGAGGGCCTGGATGAAAGAACACATCTGGAGCACATTCCCCAGCCCAGGCAGGGCTGGAGTGCCACTCCTCCACTTCTCTTTGCTGTCAGTATCATGCTCTCAGACACTGGAGCAGAAATTTGGCTTGGGGCAATTCCTGTGAGCATGTGGCCCGTGGTTTCTCCCATCTGTGCAGCTGCAGAGTCTCCTGCCACTCACATCAGGGCAGCCTGGACACTCTGGAGCCACAGGGAGAGGCTGGCAGGGCTGCAGCAGCAGAGGAGACAGCAGCTGGGGACACTCCTTGGAGCAGTCAAATGGGAAGATAGGAGAGACAAAGGGCAAGGGGTTGTGATTGTCCTGGAAACACAGAACAGGAGTGAGACAGGAAGCCTGGGTCTGGAAAAAGTGGTGTGCAGGAGCAGGTGAGTTTGGTGGGACAGGAGAGATGATGTTTTGGTGGTCCCATCTCATCTTCTGGCTTAGGATCCTGAATTATAGATGGAAACAGAGTGTCTGACAGCACTGTGTCTTCTACAAGGGGAGGCACAGGGGACTGAGGCTGTTCTCTGAGGCGTCTGCCTTGGCAGAAACATCTGGAAAGGAGGATGTGGGGAAGGACAGAGAGGCACCAGCTGGGAGATTGTGCAGGGAGCAAAGGTGAGCAGAGAGAGCACAGAGGGTAGGGAACAGGGAAGAACCCACAGTGAGATTTGTAACAAGCCATAAACAAATCGCATGGCAGTGATTGCCAGAAGGAGGTAGTGACAGCCAAGGGACACGTGTGACTGCAAAGGGGAAGAATCTGTCTGCCAGACTGTTTCCTTGTTGTGACAAACCCTGCTGCAGCAGCATCACTCTCCTGGTCTGGGAGTGCAGTTTGCATTATTTCACCAGAAAAGGTGGGGTGGGCATGTGGCTCTGTGTCCCAGCTGCTGTGAGTAACCAGACTCCAACTGCCCCACGGCAGAGAAATGGGGCCAGCACGGCTCCAGCAAGGAATGCCACTGAGTTAGACCAGCTGGGAAGCTGACTGAGGGGCTTTCTAGAAAATATACTCCTTTTTGAATGTAATTTTTTTATTTCCCTAGCATGAAGCTAACAGTATATTTTTATAGGACTGTGGATGACTTTTCACACTCTCCCAAGGCCCTCATTTTTCATCCCCAGCTGACAGCACATGGCTCTGCTTTGTGCAGAGCACAGCTCACTGTGTCAGCAAGAACTCTCTTCACTCCCTGCATTTCATAAAACAAGGATTTCCAAAGATCTGAGCTGAAAAGGGCAAGAAAAATTCTGGCCATAGATTGTCAAAACATAAGACAGAGTCTGCTATGGAAAGAGGAAGAAAGTTGAGCTGAGTGTGATGGAACTAATGTTCCTTGGTATCTTTTTCTCTTTCACATGGCTTGTCATTAATCTTAAGCATTCCTGACATTTTGCTGACAGTAGGAAGAATAAACAGAGTGGGAAATTGTTCCTTTTCATTAAAAGAAAAAAAAAAAAAACAGCTCTGTTCTGTTATCTTCACTTCTCACACAACTCTGCCTGCATCATTCTGCTTCCCAAAGCAGCTCATCCAAATAGGTGCCAAAAAGGGGGTCACCCCAATTTTCACAGTGGTGGGAGGTAATGCATCTCTTTCAGCAGTCTCCCAGGCAGCTGCAGGAGAATGACACAGGGAACAGAGGCTGTAAAAGGTGGAAAAGGGAAATATAATCCTTCAGGAGGAAAAACATAAGCAGTGGCTGCTATCCAGCAGAGGAGATATCCACTGGAGTCCTGCTAAGAGACATTTCTTCATTTCCTGGCCATGGTCAGGAGAGAGGGTTGGAAATAAATAAAAATTATTATTCCAGAGAGTGCTGGATGCAGCAGCCATCAATGTGTCAGAGGTCAGCTGTCTGTAGTGCTAGGATTAGGGTGAGGGTTAGGGTCAGGATCAGGATCAGGATCAGGATCAGGGTCAGGGTCAGGGTCAGGATTAGGGTCAGGATCAGGATGAGGGTCAGGGTCAGGGTCAAGGTTAGAGGAGGCCTGAGCTGGCTGGTTCTGAGCCTGTGAGGCTGCTGGATCACACTCTGTCCCTCCTCCTATGGCCCTGGACCAGAAGACACATGGCTATCCATGCAGAGCATCAAAAACCCCTCTGGCAAATCCTTTTCTCTGTGGTATTTTAATTTCCCATTGAGTGAGCATCCTCTCCCTCCCACCAGCAGAAGGGCTCTGGTGTGTGTCCTCCTGGTGAAATTGGCTCACAATTCACAAACTGATGTCTGTGTTGTTGCTCTAATTAGTAGGATTCAGGCACTTATAGATTTGACAGGGGTGACAATTAAATGAACAAACCCTATTAGCAGCACCCTCTTGAGGGATAAAATTGAAATCTGTGTCATTTCTGATAGTGCAGAGAAAGGAGCTGTTGTGGAGTCAAAAATGAGCCTGACCCAGTGGGGTCCTGACAGGACAGGAAAACATTCTCAGGGACTTTTCTACTGCTCCAAAGTTAGGGCAGCAAAGCACAGCAGTGGCTGCACTGGAGATTTGAAGGGATGATTTTTCCCCTGGATGATTCAATACCTGAGATCATGTGTGGTTTGGTATGGTGAAACAACAGAAGCTTGTCACTGTGTCTAAATCTTCTTATTCTGCATCTCTCTCTTCTCCTTTCAGAGCCTTGTTCATGCTCTCAGCTCAGGCAAGACTGAGGAGGCAGAGACTGGGAGAGAAAAATCCTCCTCCCACTGCTGCTCCTTACGAGCATCCCACATGGATGCGTGCACTGGGATGAGGCCAGCTCCTTTGGGATTGCTCACCTGATGGGGAATTTGCATGCAACAGCCCAAATTAACCTGAGCTGTGAATTACATGAATCTGGGGCTCCATATGACAGATTCATGGATGTGGGCTTGGGCTTGAAATTCACCCCTTCCTGAGGCTTTTGTCCACCTGGCTGCTTGTGGGTTTTTTTTAATTACTCTGACTGCCCTGATTCAAGCAAACCACAGAAAGTGAAATGCAGGCAGAAGCCTGAGCCAGAGGCTGAAGCATTTGTGAGAAACAGGGCAGGAATTCACCAGCCCGATGCTGGCAAGGAAAGGGAGATGCTCATACCCTCCCAGCCTTGCTTGGCCAAAGCAGAAAAGCCGGGGGGAAGCCAAGCTACCCCCCCAACCCCGGGGACTCCTTGCTCACAGCCTGTTGAGGCTGGCAGGGTGGCAGAGGCTGGCAGGGTGCAAAGGGAGCCACAAGAGTGGGAGGATGGAGGTGGCTCCCTGGCCATGATCCCAGAGGGTGAGAGGGTAGAGGAAGAGGTGCTGCTGAGCAGGGTGGTGCGAGGCAGAGGGTGCCTGCCAGCGGGTAATAAACCATCTGTGCCAGGGCAGCTCAGCTGAGCTGCTCAGCGTGCCCCTGGTGCCAGTCTGGCAGGGAAGGTGGGCTCTCCCTGCCAGCCTCCCACCCAGCCACGGTGGGGGTGGCAGGAAAAAAGGCTGCTGCCATATTCCCCCACACCTGCTTTCTTCCCAGGACCTGCTGGAGACGAGGCAGACCAGCTCCTTTCTCCACGGTGTCCTGGCCAAGCTGCCTGCTGAGCTTGGCAGAGGCCACAGGGCAAAGAGCAGGAGTGCCTGTGCCCGCAGCCAGCAGGGCAATGAGCCCTGGGCAGCCTGGGGAAGCCTGAGCTGGCCTGGCCCTGCCCAGAATTAACCATTGCAGCATCTTCTGGGGGCTTCTAATTGTCATTTGTCAGCTGCAAAACACCCGGGGTGTTGTGCAAAAACCTGACTTGCTGAACACCTGCATTTGTAAATATTGCTCGTTTGCAGTAAGGGTGGGAAGGTGAGGGGAAAAGAAAGGGGTTTTTTTGGGGATGCTGCAACAGGACCCTCAGCAAAGCACCCAGAGCTGCTGCCATGCTGCTTGCAGCAGGATTTCCTTTTCGGACAGGGAATTGCAGCAAAGCAAAGGAAGCAATCTGAGGGAAAAGGTATCTGTGTGAACCTGGGGCTTCAGCCCTGCCCAGAGGTATAAAAAAAAAAAAAAGGCAGAGGGTAATGAAGGGAGCAAAAGCACACTTAGCCCTCCTGTTTTACAAAGGAGGGGACAAACAAGACTAAATTATGTCAGAGCAATGTCTCATTTTCTTCAGAACCCGGGGTTACCAGAGGTCTTCCCCTCAGAAAGGAACAGGGCAGAGAAATGGATCTTTGTCTCTTTAAGATGAGGCGAACTGCCACTCTTAGTCATATATCTTTACTGCACCCTAGGGTTATAAAAACATACATCTTCATTTTGAAAGTCTTTTATTACATCCATAAACATCAGATTGCAGCTGACTGTTCCCTGGATGGGAATTTCTTAGTACTCCAAGTGAGTTTTGACAGGGGGAGGGAGTGAAAGTAAGATTGTTGGGGTTTTTTTTTTTTTTTTTTTTTTTTTTTTTTTACTGGAACAGTGTTTATAGGGAACTTGTCAGTCTCTGGCACGCTCCAGCCACTGTCAGAGGGCTGAGCAGCAGCGAAGGGAGAGGACACGGGTTTCTCTGCTTTCTCTGCTTGTTTTCCTTGTTGGACTCTGTGCCATCCCAGGTGCTGCCCACGGTAAGTTTTGCTCCTCTCTTAAATAGGACGTGGCGTTTGCTTTTGTTTCAGTGCTTGGTTTTTGTGAGAAAACTGGAAAATGGGTCTCTGTGAGAAGAACCAATCTGTTTTCTCTGCTAGCCAGTCTGCTGGGAGCTGGGGGGGAAAAAGGAGAAAAAAAAGAGGGAATTAGATCTGAGACTTTCAGAGCACAGAATGCTTGCTCCAATTTTGAGACACAGGGGGGAACAGGCAAATTGTTTGGACCGGTGATGTGAATGCTCTTGACAAGTATTGCTGACGTCTCTAATACCCGAGGAATTGCAAATCCTTTCAACAGGTACAAGAGCTATCATTTAGAAATAAATGGTAAATGCTGGGCTGTATTTCTGTCTGATGTGTTTTGCCTGGGTGACTGCACTTGTGAGTGTTGCGTTCCCTGGGGGAAGGACAAGAAGTATCTGCAGAAATGCCATCGGGTGTTTCTCTGTGGGGTATAAATAGGTGCTCTGTAATCTGCAGTGTGTTTGTGAGTGCACTCAATGCTTCCTTTCCTTGAGCATATCCCCAGTGCAGGAATCACTGCAGCACTTTGGGGCAGTTTGCATTAGCTGGTGGGGGAAAGAGGGAACAATCCCAAAACAAGATCTCAGGACTCAGCCAAGGTGATTTGTGCTTCCCCTTTCTGTGTGGACATGCTAAAATATTGCTATCATACTTCTTCCTTCCTAAAGTGTGCTGTCCCCTGAAATCCAGGGTCCTGTTTTGAGGGATTGTTTGCTTTTCCTTGTGTTGGGAATTGCAATCCTGTAATTATCTTGAGAAGAGGCTGGGGCTTCATCAGGCTGACTTTCCTGAGCCAGCAGAAGATCCTGAGAGCCCACGAGGGCTCCCAGTGTGGCCACTGCTGCAGGAATTCAGGGAACAATGGGATCTTGACAGGATCCCTGTGGCAGCTCCGTCCAAGCCGTGTTCTCAAGGGAAAAGGGGCTGGGAAACTTGTACCCTGCTGTGTCCATCCCACAAACCAGGAAGGGCAGACCTCATTCTGCAGGGACAGCACTTTGTCATCTCATGTTTGCCTGGAGTTTATGCAAGGCAGCACAATCCTTAGGCATTTGCACCAGAAAAAAAAAAAAAATTGGTCTCCAGGATAAAACTGAAAGGCAGGCTGGGTTATATTTAGTGTTCATGAGCTGTGGTGTTCATGGGCACTCTGTCACAGAGTGCTGGTGGTGTAGAGACACCAGCTGTGAGCAGGAACTTTCAGAAGCCAGGTGGGATTCTGGATGTCCCACCCAAGGTCTGTGGAAAGGTCTCCTCCCCAGGAAATGCTGCCTTAAAACAAGCCACCTCTCAGAGACCCAGCGTCCCAAAAATAAATCTTCTGGGAAACCCTGGCTGTAATCTGCAGGAAGAGGAAGGCAGGTGAGACAAGGGCTCATTCCCAAACCTGTCACTCTTCAGAGGACCAAAACAATTTTTTGGCCTCACCACCAGAACTGGAAGCCTGGGGACACCACTCTGCAGAAGGGCTGAGTATGTCTTCTTTCCTTTCTTTTTTTTCCTATCATGTCTTCCTTCTGGTTTTTTTTTCAGAGAAAGAAGAATTGTTCCAGAATTTATTGGGACAGATTGCTGAGCAGTTCTCGAGGTAAGAAACTGAACATCATTATTAATTTAAAATGCTATTTCTTTTATCAGACTGAAGTGAAATTTTCACAGGAGGCAGAGGGGCATTTAAGACATCTTTCAAATCCCACTCTGCCTGCCAAATTTAGGTCTGGGACACATTATTTCCTGCTGACAGCAATACAGTAGCTCAAACCAAAAGCAATTTCAGTGATTATCTTTGATCTAAAAAGGAGATCAAGTAGTAAATGCTCCTTCCCTCTTAGGAAGCAAAAGAAATGCTTCTTTGTTGAGCAGTCAAATCATCAGATTTGTTTCATTTTTCCCTTTATCACCCAAAAATGTCTCTCCTCAGAGAGGATTTCTCAACATCTGTGTAGCTGCTTATTTAATCCCAGCTGGTTTCAATAAGACAGATCAGTCCCACCACAGCCCAGCCAATCCGCAGCGTAACTCGGCAGGAGGGGAGGAGGTTTCAGAGTGTGCAGACACCAAGACGCTGCTCTTGGACAATTATGAATTACCAATTTAACAATTATCGATTTAACTTTGCTTCCCTGGGGGGGTACAGTAGCAAGTCACTGCTGAGAGAGGGGGAGATGAAGTGTTGTAGAGCCACGGGACATTGCCAGGGCCATAAAAAAATATATATCTCCTGTTAATTTTTCTGAAAATTAAACCCAGGTGTATTTTCTGCCCCAATGTTAGCATTTCCATGGAAAATTTGCTTTTCCTTATGACAAACGTGGGCTGGGCAGATCAATCATAGAGACACAAATATGGCATTTCTAGCAGAAGTTCTTAGCACCTAGGGTAGATAGAGCATTAAATGTATGACATTAATACATGAGGGTTTTCTTTCCAGGGTTTTTAAAATCAATGAACTGAAAACGGAAGTAGCTAATCACTTGGCAATGCTGGAGAAAAAGGTTGAATGTGAGTGTCCCTTTATTCCTATCACAGTGGGAACTGGTTCCTTGTGACCTCTGACCTGTCCTGCTCCTCCACTTTCTCTAATCCCTTGTAATTTGGCCAACTCTGAGCTCCAAAGGCCCCACGTCAGCCCGTGGGGATGGTGAGAGCCTGTGGTGGCACTGGTGTGGGGACCAGGGTGGGCTGGCTGGTGCTGCCAGCATCCAGAGCTCCTCCTGCCCTCCCTTTGAGGGGCTGCTGGGCCCTCCACTGAGCTTTGGGATTGGGGCCGTGTCCTGCTGTTCCCATGCCCCTGTGGCAGAGGGTCTTCACCACCCACCTCCCCATCTCCACCTCCCAGCCCCTGGGCAGCCCTCCAGTGTCCCCATGGCCCAGGTGTCTGTCACCTCCTGCCCCCAGCAGTGACCTCCCCATCCCTCTGCACTCCCTGATCCTCTGAGGAACCTGATCCCACCTTCCCTGTGGCTGTTTGGTCTGTAATTCCAGGGGTAACACCCTCCTTCTGCTGTCAGTCCCATTCCCCACAGAATTCCAGAATCACTGGGTTGGAAGAGACCTTCAAGACCATCGAGTCCAACCCAGCCCCAACAGCTCAACCAAACCCTGGCCCCCAGTGCCACATCCAGGCTTTGTTAAACACACCCAGGGATGGTGACTGCACCACCTCCCCGGGCAGCCATTCCAGAACTTTATCATCCTTTCTGGAAAAACTTTTTCCTGCTATCCAGCCTGTATTTCCCTTGGTGCAGCTGCAGGCTGTGTGCTCTGGTTGTGTCAGTGCTGCCTGGAGACAGAGCCCAGCCCAGCTGAGCACAGGCACCTTTCAGGAGCTGTGCAGAGTGAGGAGGGCACCCCTGAGTCTCCTTTTCTCCAGGGGAGCACCCCCAGCTCCCTCAGTCATTCCTTACACTGTAACACGACCCTATGGTTACAGTGCAACAGCCAAATTCAATTCACCCTGTCAATGAGCTCCTTTCCTGGGTTTTTGGGTTGTTTTGTTTCCCCTTGTACAGCCTCTGATTTGTTTCAGTACATTAGGCAGAACACAGGTCCCAGAGAGGCAGGGAAGGGGCATGAATAAGGTGCTGCCATCCAATTTTGACTTCAAACCCCACATCCTTGAGAATGCTCAGCATTGAAGTCAGGAACAGGGAGAGCCTTTCCCAGCACTACAGCTGCAGAAAGAACTTTCCCACTAGGACTGTCTGAGAAAAAACAAAAGAGTTTCTGGTTCCTGAAACTTCCCCTGACCAGAAGCTACCTTGACCCTGCAGCTGCTCAGGGAGAGTGATCCCTTTGTCAGCAGAGAGAGGAAGAAATGTCCTTATTTGCAGAGCAGCTGCAGGGAAGCCTCTCCCTGTGGCCACCCCAGCCTCAGGCTCCTGGTGCTGAGGATTTCCATGGAGGGGGCAATCTGCAGCTTGCCTACACCCAGAAAGGAACCCAGCTATGAATTCCTCCTTGTCTGTTTGGCTGGTGCTTCTCCCAAGGCTCTGCTGGTTTATTCTTTGACACCCCCCCCCCCCCAAAAAAAAAAAAAAAAAAAAAGAGAAAAGAAAAATGAGCTCAGTCACTCTGCATTTTCAGTGAAACTTCTGACCAGCTCCACTCCTCAGGGCTAAATGCCATGGATTAGAGCAAATGAGGTAAGCTGTGGGTCTTTGTATCCCCTTGGCAGCCCAAGAAAGCAACGATCCCAGCCAGCTAGGGGCTGCTTTTGGGATCCCTGGCACACACTCTGCCTCTCAACACTGGCAGCTCACGGCACAGGAGGGAGGTAACCAAGGCATTCATGCCATTCCTGGCAGGAAAAACTGAGCACCTGCCCACTCCAGCACTTTAGTGCTGGTTTAGGGAAGGCAGCATGCCCAGAGCTGCTGGGCCATGCAGGTGGACTGAATTCCCTGCTCCCCAAAGGAGGGCTCTCTCCCTGAGTGGGTCCCACTGCTGATGGAACCAGCAGCTGATGGAGCAATCTGTGGGAAGGAGCTCCCTGGGCTGCCTGTGTGCTCAAAGTCAGACTTCCAGAGTTTGCAACAGAGCCCAGTCTGCAGCATTCTGAAATAATTCCCTGGGCTGTCATGTTTAAGAAACAAAAACGTGGGAGAGAGGGAGTGTCCAACCTCCCTGCTTGAGCTGGGCTCCCAGAGGTTGCTCTGAGAGCCATGTTTCACTGCTGGATTCAGCCCAAGGATTTCTTTAGACAGCACAGGGTCTTTTCAGAAGGTATTTCTCGCTGCAGAATAATGTAATGGGCCCTTAATCAGTGCACATGACATGGCCATTTATCATTTGCAAGCCAAATGTGGAAAGAATTGTGTTTTTATTTTGCCTTTTCTCCTGCCTCCTTCATTTCCTTTTCCACCACTTTCACATGTGCTCTCCAGGATTTGTTCCCCAGAGTGTGGGGATAAATGCTCATGACAGCACCACATCTGCACCTCACATGAAATGTTCTCAGCTTCCTTCCCATTCCTGCCTAGAGACCTCACCAGAGATGTGTTTTCAGGGAGCCAAATCTTTAGATGATTTTTAAATCCCAGCTAAAGCTTGTCAGTTCCCCTTGGAAAATGAGCCCATGCAGAGCAAGCACTGGGAATGCTTTGTCCCGTGGCTTGTCTTACTCTGCACAGCAGCCCACACAAGAATAAAGAAGCTGGCAAAAAACCCTTTGCAATTTGTAATCACTTCGTATCTACTTTAAGAAAATAATTATGTAAATTCTCTGCTCCCCCAGAGAGATTTGGGTTGAAAACCAAAGAGATGCAACATGAAAAAATGCTCAGGGCTGCACCAGAACTCCTCCCTGCAGTTGCCTGCCCCACTTCCCTGTCACTGATAACTCTGCTTGGCTCCCACTGCTTCAAATAGGCACTGGCCACCAATTAGACATCTTGGCAAATGGAATTTCTCCCAGGTGAATGCATCAGTGTGGTACAGATCAGCACAGGACCTGCAGGTCAGCTAGGGCTGACCATCAGCAGTTGAACAAAGCCCCCAGAGAAGTGCAGGCAGGTATCCAGAACAAAGATATCCAATGAGCAGGACAGCAGCTTGCTGCATCACCACGTTGTGATCACCCAAAGAAATTGCCTGCAACAGTGACAGACAAAAAAATAGAAATGTTTAAATGGGATTTTAAAGAGAGCATCCCTGTAAACAAAAATAAACTAACCCCCTTTCCCTTTCCTCTCCTAATATGTGGCATTCTGGGCTTAGTTCAGACACATCTCTTTCCTTTTTCCCAGTCCCATCTGCAATATTTGTTGTTATTCTCATAAAGGTAAACAAAACCGAGGTCTCTGCTTATCTCCAGAGCTGTGCCCTTCAAGGCAGGGTTTTATCACTTGCTCTCCCGATAAGTGTGATCCAGACTGTGATTTTCTAAGAAAGTTGCTGAATACTGATTTTCCTCCATGCAAACAACGAGTTCAGTAAACAAATGAGCTGTGAAATGATTGCATGTGAATGACATGGAGTTATAAATGGTGCTGTGTCCTTGATCACACTGACAGTTCAACGAGGGGGAAAGAAAAGGGACAATTATTCTCACACTCTCACTGCGTTGGGCTCTCTCAGCTATAGGGAATAAAGTCCCCTGCTGCATAAAAAGGCAATCAAACTTTTTGCCTCATGGCTCTCACAATTGCATGCAGAAGGGAAATATAGGATTTTCTGTGCTGCATGTAGAAATAACCTTTGATTACAGAATTGATTGGCAAAAAGAAGTGACAGGATTTCAATAGTTTAAAAAAAAAAATCTATCATTAGAATTTTCAACATTTTTTCTCTCCCTCCTGCATTCTCACTTTGGCTTTTCTGTATCCAGCAATGCCTCTCCGAGCTCCTTAATGCTCTGCATGAACTTCCGAATTAAAACCTTTTATCTTAATGGGAATTCTAATCCTACCGGGCGTGTTTGCATAGCCCTGCTTATCATCCCATCACGGGAGTGGGGCTTTTTCCTGCTCAGGATTTCCTCTGATTCCTGCTCTGCAGCCGAGGAGTGAAGGCACCAGAAGAGCTGCCTGCTGCTGTGGAGAAGCCGAGCTGTTATAGCCACTGAGTGAATGAAGGCTGTTATCTGCATTGGCAGCAGAGAATTCCTGTGGCTTTCCAAGATCCCATCTCGCTTTGGCAGCACCTGCACGTGGGAGAGGCCAGGCAGCCTGTGGGAGCTGCTGCCTCGCTGGATAACCCCACTGGCAGAGCTCCCTGAAGTTTTGCACCATTGTGAAACGAGGCCCTGCGACTTCTCGCCATGGTAACAGCCCTGTTGTTTCCCTTTGTTGACAGTGGAAGGCCTGAAAGTGGTGGAGATTGAGAAATGCAAGCGTGACATTAAAAAGATGAGGGAGGAAATGGCAGCAAGAAGCAGCAGGTAAGTTCTGCTTGGCACCCAGCCACAGGAGTGTCTGGTTTCAAACCCTAATGCAACTTTTCCACAGAATTATCTCCTGGGCTTAGAAGTAAAAGAGCAAGGAAACCAATAACCATCAAGGGCAGGGGCTTTAATTTACCATTTGAAGATTTATAGCCATTCACCAGTTAAATTAGCTTGGGCCATGGGAATAGAGAAGAAGGTCTTGGGAGTTATTTGTCACCATACAGAATGGGAATTCTTCATCCAGATTTACTGGGAGAGAGAGAGAATGAGGAAAGAACTTCTGCACATTGCAGCCTTTGGTTGGGAACCAGTTAGCCCTCGAATCAGCTCCAATATATTCTGGGAAATTACCAAATAAATATGTAGCAGCTCCTCTAATTATGATCTCATGCTATTATAAATCATCCGTTTCAAATTCAATGAGAAATTGGGAATTTACATTCTAATGCAAGGGCTCATTGTGATGGTTTTGCTGTAATTAAAACAGCAGCAGAAAAAATTGCATTTCCTACGGTGCGTGGTCGCAGCTGGAAAACGCCCCCTGTGTCACTGAAGTGCCCCACTAGGACAAACAAATCATCACTGTGAGATTGGGAATACTCCTGGGAAGGTTGCTGGAGTATACCCTGCTGCTCAAAATGTGGGTGAAGGGAATTTTTCTCAGCAAATGTAACTATGCTGTCTTGACAGTGTCGGGGTCAAATTGTCTGACCCTTAATCAAAACTGTTTCCTACTGAGGGCAGTGGGAGATGTGCTAAAAGATTCAGGCTTTATAATCACTCATTTTTATAAATGTTGCCATCCAGATATGTCAGGAGGCACAATGATAATTCCTTCCCATGAAGTCCAAGGCCAAATTCAACTGTCATATTAGCATAAATGCAGAATAACATTATTAACCTCAGATGTGTGCCTCAGATTTATCCCAGCAGGGTGGAATGCAGTCTACCCTGTGACTTGCATAATTTCTTTTTGGGGTGTGTAGAGAAATCTCATTAGAAAAATCCAAGCCCAGGTTGGCAGCAAATGCAAGAGCATGTGTGCTGATTTGTGCTGGGTGTGATGTGAGAAACGTGTGTGCCCATGTGTCTTTGCCTCAGCTGTGGTAGGGAGCTGGCAGAGCTGAACAGTGATGCAGAGTGATGATGATGAACAGTGATGCACAGGTGGACAGGGAATTAGGTCCAAAAAAAGAAGTTATGGCAAGTTCACGTTCACTCAGTCACCACCACGCCACATCAGGCAGTACGAGACTGTCCCAGCAGCCATGACTAATTCCCATCCCAGATCCTGTCACCTTCCAATCTATATTTTGTGGTCTAAACAACAAGTTGTTAACAAGAAAAGCTGGAATGGGGGGGTGTTCCATCTGCTCAGTGCAGCCAGCTCCAGCTGGGGTGTCACCTTCACCGAGGGCTCGTGGTGAGATGTGACAGGCTCCTACAGCCAGAGACCAGCAGGGGTGTGAGGCTGGAAGGATGTGGTAAAGATGGGAATGGGCTCAGCTGGGCACAGACACCCACCCTGGCTTGCTCTGAGCTCACACTCACAACTGCTGTCTCGGGAGCAGGAGCAGGGCTCGCTCTGCTCGGCATCACTTTGGTGCTGTGTCCACGTGGCTCTGTCACATCTCCTCTTGGTTACCCTGAGCTGCATCTCCCTCCTCCCAGCTGCTCAAAGGCTCCTCCTGCTCATGCAGAATTCTGCACCCTGTGGGTGTGGGAGCCAAAGCAGCAGCTAGATGTGGATACAGGTCTGAGGAGATGATGCTCCTTGGTGCTGCTGAGGAATGGGCTGAGGTTCCTTATTCCCAAGCCACCAGAGCCCCACAGCAGCCAGGTCACCAGCCTGTGGTGACCCCAGCCTAGGGATGCTTGACCCCAGGGTGGCTGAGCAAATCCTCTCCTGCTGGCATGAGATGAGAGGCATCCCAGGGAAGTGGAAATGTTATTTGCTCTCATTTAGACCTGTCATCCCTTGTGCAGTGTCATTTGCTAGATAATGCATTGTGGTTGCAGTTAGGGATCCCATTAAATTTAATTAATGTACATAAATATTTGTGAGTGCCTGTATTCCTTCAAAAAGGTCACGGTGTACACAGCTGTATGGGTGTTTACCTTTTCTTATATTTGCTGTTACATTGCCAAATGAGAGAGTAAGGCTGGGCAGCCAGGTTTATAAAAGCACAGTGAATTGTGCATCTCTCTGTTCAGAAGAGCAAAGCAGCTCCATTTGCATCCTCCTCAAATTGCTTTTTTTTTTGCTTGTCTGCTTTTCGCACTCACCACTGGCAGATGCTAATAGCATTACGGTGTCATTTAAAATCATGATCATTTGCAGATCCAGTTTTGCATTTGTGAAGGTCTGATGCATCCTGGCTCTGGTGTGTTCCCCAGTGTGCTGGGATGAAGGCTTCAATATCCTACTACAGCTGGGAATTAGAGATAGCTGGCTGACCCTCAGCTAACCCTGGCAGTCAGCTCCAATTAGGGCAAGGAATGCCCCAATCTCACTATTTTTATCCTACTAATACCCCACACAGTGGAGTTTTGAGGAAACGGCTTTAGAAATTATTAAGACAGCTTTTCATCAAGTGAGAATCTCCTTAAACAGGGCAGGAAAAGGCAGCTGGTTGAAGTCAGCTGACCACCTTGAGCTGTGAAATGACATAACTTTCACAGGATTCAGACACTGACACCAGAAATGACAGCAGACATCAATGTTAAGAGGCAAAAAGAGACCTGGACTAATTCCCAACAGAGAAGAGAACCACTCAAAAGAGATACAATGCAAAATATAATAATCAAAAATGCAAAAACCAAGTTAACGGAATGCTTTGCTTGGCTTCTTTGGAGAGGTTTATTTTTGCTTCCTTTGGCAGGGGGCTTGAAAACTGAGAGAGGATAATCCAAATGTTAGGACTGCAGGGATAAATCCCTGGAAGTGCTCAAGGCCGGATTGGATGGGGCTCAGAGCAGCCTGACCTAGTGAGCAGCACCCCTGCCCACGGCAGGGTGGGTGGAGCTGGATGATTTTTAAGGTCCCTTCCAACCCAAACCATTTCATGACTGTATAAATGCAAAATGCAGGAAGATCAGCCTCACACAAGAATTAATAAAGTCCATGTGGACAACTAGCTGGGAAAAGCCCTGCAAGGCCATGGAGTCCAAGCTGTGCCTGATCCCCACTTTGTCCCTGGCCCAGAGCTCTGAGTGCCACGTCCAGGCCTTCCTTGGACACCTCCAGGGATGGGGACTCCAAACGTCCCTGGACAGCCCCTGACAATGCTTGACCACCTTTTCAATGAAGGAATTCTCCCTGATGTCCAGCCTGTCCCTCCCCTGGCACAGTTTGAGGTCATTTGGGAGAAGGGCCCAAGCCTCGCCTGGCTGCAGGCTCATCAGGGAATTGTTGATAAGGTCCCCCCTGGGCCTCTGCCCAGATGGGAAAGCATCAGCTTGGCTTTTCCACATGCAGAGGAAAGAAGAGTAGATAACTGGCAGTGTTAATAACCAGGCAAGTGTTAATTACCTGTAATTGCTGGCAGGGGCTCCCTTTCTCCAGGATCAGGGAGCCAAGCAGAGGTGTCTGCCAAGTCCGTGCCTCTCCGTTGTCCCACACGAAGAGGGGCAGCAGCCAAGGAGGTCACACCATCCAAGTGGAAGTTCTCCTGGGCTGCAGCGAGGCTCAGTGGGTGCCCTCAGCAGTAAATCAACACAGGTGTGCCCACAGCCAGCGTGGTCCCTGGCAGCCCTGGAGAAGGATGCCTGCCATGGACAGCAAGCTGCTCACTGGGAGTTTAAGGAGAAGTGGTTGGGTATCCATGGATACATGCCTGAACTCAGATGCTTCTCTCTTGAATGCAAATAGACCGAGAAAGGGCAGCAGGGGTGTTGCACAAGGGGAGAAAATCCTGAGGAGAATCACACTTTCAAAGCATTTTGAACAGCACTGCTTTAGAAAGGGAGAGGCTGTGGGGTGGGGTGCTTCTCTGAGGGGAGACCAGAGCACGACCAGAGCATTTCTGGCACTTTTTGAAGCACTGTTCCCTCAGTGTTAAGAGATGAATATTTCATTTCAGGACTAACTGTCCCTGCAAGTACAGCTTTTTGGATGAAAACAAGAGGCCAGCTCCCCGGCGGGATGTACCATCCTACCCAAAGGTATGACACAACCCTTGCTCTTCCCATATTCCTGCTGCAGGACTGCCATCCTCACAAGTGCTGCTTTACAATGTGTGACTCCTTAGCCATTAATTCCCTGTTATTCTAAATCCAAGGTCTGATCCAAAATGCCAATGGAAAAAGCCAACAGTTGCCCATGGTGACTTAAAGTTTAATTCTCAGTAGTCTTTAATACTTGAAAGCTCGTTAGTGTTTGAAATGTTAATGAACATTGTGCATTCATCAACATTTAATGCTCTTTTGTCTAGGTATATTTGTTTATTCTCCACGCTCATAGCAACAATCAAAAACACCCTGTAATGCTGTGTTCTGATTGAAAGTAGTGCTGCTGCCTGCTTTCTCCTAATAGATTATTTTTTAATTTAAAAAGTAATTTATGGGAATGCTTCACCTAGGGAAACAAAGAGAAAATGCGACATTGGATTCTCTCCAAAATGATTCATTGTCCCTGTGAAAATGAGTTAGTGTATTTGCTACAGAAAACAGTAATGCTGGAAGAAAAAATGTCTCCTGGGCAAGCACAAGTACAAGTCCACAGTGATGAATGAGGCTGAAACCATGAAGAGCACAGGGTCTTGAATCCCAGAACCAGCAGTCTTTGCCCACAAGAATTATTAAAAGCTGCCTGGTTATGCCTGCCCAGTGACGAGCTCAGACCATGACAAAACACCAGCTCACACATTTGCAGATCATGGTTTAACCATGAGCATCTCCTCACACACACCAAAGCTGGCTCAGCCACCCTGAATCCTCACAGTCCTGTGTGATGCAGATCTATGACATGGACCTGGCTCTGTGCACATTTGTCTTCAGAGCCCAGCAGAGCAATAAATTCTGCTATTTGTTCTGCTCTGTCTTGCTAAAGTGACCTCCACTGAAGCAGAGACTCTGGGACTTCTATTTCTTTTAGTTAACTGTTGCCCAGGAGGCTTGTGCTCCTGACACTAACACATGATTTCACAGAACACATCAGTTCTAAGCCAGTTTTTTTCCCTTGGTAAGCATATATGTCAGATTAAACTTTGATGGACTGCTGCATTAGGATCTTGAATTAAGAATAAAGGCTACGAAGAGTTGAACTGCCCCACTGCAGAGTAAACGTTTGTATTTCTGCATTTCTCCTAGCCCAAAACTCATGGGAGTTTGGGGTTTTAGAGATTTGCAAAATTTGTGAGGTGCTGGATTTGTCCAGTGTCAGTGAGGCTGAAGGAAGATGTCATTGCAACTCCAAGTCTGTACTGCTAATTTGCAGTTTTCTTGCAGAAAGTCACACTAAATGTGCATTGTGTGTGCAAATGCAAAACTCCTTGCCTTCTGAAGAAGAAAAATTAATCCTCTGTGTTGGACACTAAGTCCAAGTCCTCCTTGGACTTAGTATCAAACAATTTGATGGCTCAGAAATTGTCATTCACCTGCTGAGGAGAGTAAACCCAGACTAGAGACAGCCATGGTAAATGGACCAGTTGAAGCCACAAGGGTTTTGAGTCCCCAAACCACTGATGAATAGGATCCTGAAAAGATGAATCCATAGAGTCCTGATATCCCCATGTCTTTTAACCCTGCATATTCCTTTTCTTTTCATTTTGTATACAACCATAACTGGTGAATGAGCTTGATTTTGTTTTAGGCTTCTGAGTGTAATGATAAAAAATCACTTGAATCTTTCAGGCTGACAACCAATTTGAAACTGTGGGCACTCTTGAAAAAACACTTGAAATGAGAGCATAAATCATCTGAAAATAAACATATCATCCCCAGCAGCTAATTTAGCACTGTAAGCAGAGACACTTCACACCCCCCCTCCCTAACTGGCAGCTTTGAGTGCTGCTGATGCTCTGCAGGCAGCAGAACCAGTGCAGGGATGGGTCTGTGCCCTGTGCCTTTGATTTTCTGTGCTGGATTTAGCCATGACCCTCTCCTTAACACCTCCACTCTCCCTTTTCTCCCAAGTTCTGCTCCACAAGGATCTGCCCCAATGAGCAGCTGCCACCTGGCAGGAAGGGTGAGGAGGGTTGGGTGGCCAGAGGGAGAGATCATTTGCTCTCTCCTTGGGAAATGTGGCTAAATCCCTCATGAATGGAACCCTGGGAGCCCCAAGGACATGCCAACAGCATTCCCATGGCAGAGACACCCTTGTTTACACCTCCTGCCTTTCTGTCTGCAGTACATGCTGTCCCAGGAGACCATCGAGGCTCTGCGGAAACCAACTTTTGACGTCTGGCTGTGGGAGCCCAACGAGGTGAGGATGCCAGGTTGGCAGGGCTGGCACTTTCTGAGAGCCAATAAGGCCAAAAGAGCCCTTTGAGACAGTCTGCAGGATTTTCCCCCTTTTCTGCGCCTTACTTTCTATATTTTTTTCATTTCCATACCACACCAGAAATGCAGTGCTTCTTCCTAGCAGATGCCAGGTAGATTATGCTGCTTATCATATCCTGGCTCCTCTTCATTTGCTCTTTAATCTCTTCCTGGTAAAGTCCCTCAACTGGTGCACTGTCATTACTGTCACATGAGTTCTCCCATACCATTTTATCTGAACAAATCAATCCCCAGTGAAGTGTGTGCTTAAGCACATCATCAATAACTCCACTCAAATCAATAAAGCAGCAGGCAGAGGTGCAGACATTGATTCACACCCCTTCAGCTGAGGGTTTTTTCTGCAGTTTGTTCTGAAGAGGTTGCAAGGCTGCATTCAAAGCCAATTTTCTTCCTTTTTTACTGCTATTAGTGTTATTCATGGTTCATCACTTGTACTGAAGAAGGTTCTGGAAGGTCTATGTGTAAACCTCCAGAAGCATAAAGGAGAAGGATGTTAAGAGTGGACAGCTTATAATGTAATGTAAAACCAGATTTAGCAAGCACTAGCAAATCTCACTCAATAAAAACATGATGGAGGACAGGACTAAACCAGGAGTTTAGTGCTGTTTTTTTTTTTCCCCAGGGGAAGGCTTGGGCAGCACCCCCAGCAGCAATCACCCAAATTACCTTCTCAGAGGTTCTGCACAGAATGATTCTGGCTCAGCATGACAAGGAAAAACACCCCATACCCCATCCATAGGAACAGCACATTCCCTTCAGGGTATTTTCTGTGTCTGGAAGAACAACAGAAGGGCTCTCTGGTGGCTTTATGTCCATCTCCCATTTGCTGAGAGCTTCCCTTGTGTGGTCAGAGGTGCTCTGCAGCCACTGCTCTCTCTCTGTACCATAAATGCCTGTGAGGTCTTTGCAGCAAGAGAGAATTACAGCCTGACAGGTGCACCATAACCCTGCTGGATTATTGTTCTTCTGACTATTAAGAAAGAATGAGGAGAGACAAAACCCATTATCCACAGATTCCAGTGATTTAGCACAGTAACTCGTTCAGAGGGCTAGCAAACATTATCAGGTGGCAACAAGAAGGCAAACAGGAGAGTGTGGAGATTTAACTTGCCCTGCAAGGAGGAGTGTGCTCAGAAATGAGATTCCCCACAAGCTGTGAGCACCATATGGGTTTATCTCTCCCTCTTAGCTCTGCTTTATGTTTACAGAGAACATTTCAATTCTGTCAGTGCTTGTTTAGCAGTGAGTGTTTGCCCATGTGCTCCAAGTGGGACAGGCAGGTCATAAACCTTGGTCAGCTGTAAGCAAATTAATAATGTGTCCTGCTGCATCTCAGTAAACACAGCTTTGCAGCAAGCCTGGCTCCTCCTTCTCAAATGCCCTCTCACTTTTCAAGCCTTACAAGAGTCCCATTTTCCAGCTTTTGCTGCTGACCAAGAAAGCTAAACATGAAAACTGAGATTCCTCTGTGTTCAGGGGCAGGAGTTTTGGGACTGAGAGTCGCCTCCTCACTCACCCAAAGCTCTCTTGGCAACAGCTGCATTTCTAAGGGCAATTCAGCACTTCTGGATAAAGTTTCTTGTCTTGGAAAGTCTTTTATGGAACTATTGCAAAACATGTATTCTACCAGGACAAGGGGATTTTCAGCAAAATGCTGTCCATGTGATTTGAGCAGCATTCAGCTCATGGCATTGTCCCTCAGGTCTTGCAGGACATTTTCTTCCTGTTTGGATTACTCAAAATCAGCCCTGTTGTTACTCCATGACTTACATTTATATTTCCCTGGATAAATATAAAGTTTCATTAGATTAAATCATTTTTTCTGGTGAGTTTCTAAGAGCCTAAATAACAGAAAACTAACTAGAAATGCCCCCAGGGTTGTATTTGTGATATTTTACCCCTCATGTTGAAACCCCTGGTGTGCTTTACAGTCTAAAAACTGCATTTTCTAACACAATGACCAACCACATTCCGTCCCCTGCAGATTGGACCTTCAGAAATGGGAATGCATATACACAAAAACTCCTGAACTCCCAGGAACCTGTTCATTTCTGACTGGTGGAAGCTGTTAGATTGAGATTTTCAATATATTTTGTTTTCAATTATTTGAGATTTTATCAATATCTTTTGTTTTCAATATCTTGAGATTGTCAATATATTTTGTTTTCAATTCTTTCAAGCCCAGATGTGGGGCTTGATGATTAAATGTGAGAGGTGGTGCTAAATTACCTGAATCCCCCTTGCTGCTGCAGAGCAGATGTTGTCTCAAAAGAGCTGCCTGTCCTTGCATTTCAGCTATAGGGATTCACAGTTACAGTCTCCATGAGGGGATAATCACAAAATTGCTGCAATTTTGTAGGGTTATAATGGGAAATCTTTTAAACAAGAAATGTGAGGTAAGATAGTAGAGTTAGGAGCTCACAAGAAGTCATAAAGAAAGAAGGTATTGACGAATGTCTGAAATAAGTTTCTTCAGGGATCTCTTATTTTCTGCTGTCATTTTCTATTCAGCTAGAGCCTGATCCATTTCTGGACAGCCAGGGAGAAGCTCCCACTGGCTTCACTGAGCAACAGGACACATCCCAGCTGAACTAGAAAATGGCAAGGCTTTTTTTGTGAGCAGGAATTGCTGTGATACACACAAATCACAGTCACTGAAGAGTGCTGGTGTGATATTCAAAGCCCTGCACAAAACCTGTGAAGTCAAGAGCAGCGTGTCTGCTTCAAAAAGCTTTCAGACCCTCTCTGTCTCCCCTCTTGCACTGACTTTAATCATGCAATCTTTGAACATCTTTCTTTCATCTAAAGAGGGCTCTGCAATTATTTGATGCTTGCAAGGGGGGAATTCGCTTCACAGGGTGTCCTCAAGGGATATTTACAGAGCCAAAATAACCTTCCTGTTCCTGGCTGCAGATGCTGAGCTGTTTGGAGCACATGTACCACGACCTTGGGCTGGTAAAAGACTTCAACATCAATCCTATCACCCTGAAGAGGTGGTTGGTGAGTGTTTCAAGTGTTTGCAATTTTTCACATTCAAAAATCAATAAACAAGGCATTTAGTCGTGGAATTAACATGACTGGCATGAGTAATCCCAATGAAAGCAGTCAGTCTATACAAATTTTTAAAATTTAAGTCCTTCAGAAAGTGTTTGCATTCTTGTGGTCACAAATGACTCTTTTGTAACTGTTTTGCATTCCTTTGCTGAGGTTTCCATTACTGAAAGCAGTTCATTTCTGCTGAATGCTCTTGATACCTACTGCAAAGGGAGGCAAGACAAGTGCCTTCAGATATAGCTAGAAAGTGCAATAATCATTCAGTGTACTAAATCACAGGGAGCAGAGGAAGGAGCAAGTCAGGAAGGAAAAGGAATTGCTGAGAAAGTAACTTTCTTTGCTTCAGTCTTTGATGTGAGAATGTTGCAGAGATGCAAAATGTGAGAAAGATGAGATCATACCAAAAGTGAGATGGCTGAGGGAGAAACACTGGAATATTTAAAAAGCAATGAGTTTTCAGGTCCAAGGGAGAGCAAAAGAAAGTGTTTGCTAAAAAGCTGAAGAATATATTGGCTTTCTTAGAAAAAACCCATCATGTTCTTAGAGAACTGTAGACCAATAAATATTTTAACCATTGTTTAAAAAGCATCCAGGGATAGCCTGAGGAATTACAACTAGTAAAAACTTACCTCTGTGTCTCACAAATTGATTGAGACAATAATTAAAAACATCATGGTGTGAATTCATCATGCAGATGTTTCATAGGATTCCTGTACTAAAGACTTACACCTCATTAATCTCTTCTAATTCCCTGAGGAGCTCGCAGAGAGCAGAGGGCAGTGTTTTAGATGGATGTAGACTCCTAAAAAATTTCACAAAATCAGGAGGCAGCTGGAAAAGACAAAGGAAAGAGTGGGTCCATCACATGTTACAGGAGGCACGTGCGGCTGTCCCTGCTGGGTGTCCTGCTGCAGGAGGGACACAACGAGGCACAAGGCTGAGCAGAGCCTGGAACAAGGGATAAAATGCCACCACAGAAGGTAGGAGGCTCACCTGCAATTTATTCCCAGCACTGGTGAAGCCTTTTTAGGAAAATAATATGGCTGCATTAAAGGAGAAACCAAAAAATATCAAAAGCTGGTAAGTCTCTCTGTCTGAAGAAGGAAAATGAAAAGCTGGGTGGTGTTGACCTTATAAAGCAGCTGAAGACAAGAGGTGGGATGAAACCCAACACAAACAAGGGTAACACGGAGTAGATGAACCAAAAGATCTCCTCCTCCTGTTTCACAGCCCAAAAACATGGGAAGCAAGGTGATATGTCAACACACACCAACAGCCCACCCACACACACTGCTGCAGGCAGCTTCCCCTACTCGTGTCTCCAGGCAATTTATCACCACTAGCATTTAAGACAGCTTCACTCTGAGCACAAAAGGGGAGTTTGTAGTGTATTTTCTACAAAGGTAAGGCAGGGTGAGGTCTCCTATCTTTTTGAAGAAATAAAAATGATTTCTAAAAGCCTCAAGGGCTCTGCTGCAAAGTGGCACAGTGTGGGCATCACTTTGAACTCAAGGAGAGAAAAAGCCACCCCACGCTTATCCCAAATCCACTGGCTACAGAAGTCTTCCAGAAAGGGGAGGAAAGAGTGATTAATGCAACCCAGTCTCTCCTTCCCTCCTGAGCCAGGAGTGCCCTGGGATGCTCTGGGCTCCAGTGCTGGATGTGCACATTACATCCATGCAGCTTTGTGCAGTGCCATGTGTAGGCTGCGAGATACCACCTGTGAGCCTGGCTGGCAACCATATCATGCCATTCCTAAGTCATTTTAAAGTAATGAAATGTGCTTCTAAAATCCTTGCTGCAGAATCATATGTGCAGCTTTTGCAATGAAGCCCACAAGTACTGAATAAGCATTGAAATACCACACTTCTCTTGACCTCATCCAGAGCTTTGAGGTTCCCTAGAAGTCAGGTGATGGGTTGAAGCGTTTGATCCTGATGGGGTGTGAGGACTCCTGAGGTAAATTCCTGATTTAGCTGGGGAAGGGGACAAATGCTGTCCATGTCATTAATTCAGGCTCAGTAACTGAAGCATGAGGGCTCTCTGGGTTCCAGCTTTGGAGGATTCAGCAGGGGGGTCCAGCAGTGCTGCTGACTCTTGGCTGCTTTGTGAGGGACAGGAAACCAGAGCAGCACTGGAATAATGACCGTGGCATGTGCCAACCCAGCTGTGCCAGCCTCCCTCTGCCAGCCTGGCTGGCACTAGCCAGGACACAGGGACACACAGGCTTTATCCTGCCTGTGCAACGAGGGCAACCAAGCCAGGATCTATAGAAAGTTAAACCAAACAATGGCTCCTGTGAGCCCATGACAGCTCAATCTCTCCCGGGCTGACAGGCATAGAAAACCCACCCAGGTGTGCTCCAGCCTGGTGTGCATTCACATCCTCCCTTTGCCAAGCAACACGTCCCAAAGTGCCACCTCTGAGCACTGGCAAATGAAACGACAGCCACATTTCAGCCTCAAGGTATCAGAGCTGCAGTTTGTATTCAGCAGGAGAGGGGGCCAGGGGTGGGCTCTGAGCCCTCTACAGTTCTCCCTTTAGCCACTGCAAGGTTTGAAATACAAATTCAAGATGAGAGCAGAGTGTCCTCTCTTGAGGACTGAGATGCAGCTGTGCTGGGATGTTTGCCCATTGCTGGCTGGTATGAGAGGGGATTTTCTGTGAGCTTTACCTGCTGGTGAATTCTTGGAACACACAAATGTGAAAAACCCCTTCACTCTCCTGTGAAAATTTAAAAGTTTAATAGAGGACAATAGGAGACAAGGACCATAGAGCAAAGGGTGGTACAGGTGCCTCTTGGCACTTATCCAAAAGCATCCTGTTATCTTTTGGTATACTCCTTAAATACCTTTTCTCTTACATCAGCTTATTGCATATTCATAGACCCTTATGCATAGTAAACTTTTCCCCAAACTAGTTTACATGTTCCAAGAATTGTTTAGCACATCTCCTCCTTGGGATCCACCTTTTTAGAGCATGCACATTCCTTGGCTGTGGTTTTAGTCCTTTTTTATCACCTCCAGTTTTTGGGCCTCAGTCACTCTGAAGACAGTGAGTGTTGATAGCTGGCAGATCTGTAGCAGGGTCCTCATCCTGTGTTCATGGGGTGTTATCCCATCCAAGCAGGAATTTTAACACAAGCATGCTTATATCAGCTATTTCACTACTATGTCAAAGCTTAATTAACAACAGAAATAAAAACTATGTCTTTATAGCAAAGTTACTTTAACACCACACATATAGAATACTTTTTAATATTTGCAGAAAGACAACATTATAATATGTATCTATTACACAAATCTCACACAGGAAGGCGGAAAGTGTCAGAAGCCCTGTGCTGTCACTCTGTCCTAGCAGAGACTAATCCTGGGCCCCATAGGACTCTTTAAGGATTTCCAGTGCTTGGCAAACAGCTCTGCCACCTCTGACAGCTCCATTCCCTCTCTCTGCAGCTGTGTATCCACGACAATTACAGGAACAACCCCTTCCACAATTTCCGGCACTGCTTCTGCGTCACCCAGATGATGTACAGCATGATCTCGCTCTGCAGCCTCCAGGTACCACCCCCTCCATGGCACCACTCCATTTCCACCTCAAACCTGAGCCACTTCTCCTGCAAAACGAGACACCAGCCTGCTGGCAAGCTGTGGCCTTTGAGGAGGCTGTACTTGCTCAGTCCCCGGGTGTGGGAAGTGGATTTGTAGGGAATTTTCCAAGCCTGACAGAAGGCTCACACAGTGTGTGCATCCCTGTGCAAACCTGGAGACAAGAAATGCTGACTCAGGAATGCCATGGAATAGGACAGACATTGTTGGGAGAGAAATGGAACTAGAAATAAGTTTCAAAGGAAGGCCTCTGGATACCTTAGGGAAATAGAACTATGAAAGGTGTATTGTATTAAGACCCACAAAGAGTAATTTTTGATGATTAGCTTTAAGGCATTTACTGTATTAATTGCATTATTATTACATTATTATTAATTACAGTATTATTTATATATAGCATGGCAAAAACTGATAGGCCAAGAAACACAGTGTATTATAACTAAGAAATATCTGACTTCTCATTGTGATGGCATGAATTATAACATCTATTGTCTCACCCTTCATGTGAAACTGCAAATAGAATAAAAGTTTTTTAAACACCTCTCAGGTGTTTAATATCAGATCAGATCTCTAGATCAGAAAAAACTTAATCTGACACCTGGGCACACAAGGAGAGGTGTTGCATTTCCACCTCAGCCATCCCATGCCTGACCCCCAGCACCTGCACAGCTTTCTGAGGCTGTTGGGAGGTAACTTCAGCTCCTGGATGTCCGCACTTTGTACTGTGATGGAGTGAAACATTCAGGAATGACAGCCAAACCCCTGCTGAGTTATGGTCTGTGGGTTTGTTCTTTGTTTGGGACACAAAATATTCCCACAAGAGGTTTCCTCCAAATGTGTGCTTTTACCTGTGCTTGTCCTGTAGCCTGGCATGTGCAGGGCACACACTTCACCTTTATTTTGTCCAAAACTATAGGCATCAATTAATTTCATGTCTGGATAACCTGCATTCATATATTAGTTTAATTTCTTTACAAAACTGCTTTTTTAACTGTAAAACCCCCCTTTTTTCTCTATAGTTACATATATCAGTTACTGGCCTAAGTCTGTTTTCTTGCCAGTAGCAGAATGAAGAAAAATTTGCTTTAATGTAAGTCCGTGCTATTCAAAAGCTGTGGGAACACAACATTTAATTTTTCTTGCTCTTTTCATAACTTTATTTAATGCAGTATGCAGTGGCAACAGAGCCATCTTCCAGCCCTCCCTTTACCTAATCAGGGTGCTCAAATGCCTTGTAAGAGACTCTACTAATGTCTCAGTGCTTTTATATCATCTCTGCAGTAATAGCAAGTTTCAAGGAAATTGCCTCCTCTGAGCTGCTGTTATTTCATGCAACAAAGGCAAATCTGAGTCATTTTTACTGGAAGGGAAGGCAGATTTCTCTTTCTTGACTGAAGTAAATTCATCCAAGGAAAAATGCTTCATTTTGCTCAGATTTGCATTTCTCTGAAAAGCAAATGTGTCTGGTTTCTTTATTTCTTTTGATTTACAGGGACAGGGGAAGTAGAAACCATAATACTACATTCATGTTTTGTATTTTACAGGAGAAATTTTCCCAAATTGACATTTTGATTCTCATGACTGCAGCAGTGTGCCATGACTTGGACCATCCAGGCTATAACAATACGTGAGTCTGGTCTCTTTTTTTCTCTTCCCTTAGAATCTGTTGGGAAGGTAACCCTGGTTGGCATTTTTTGGTAGATCAGGTTTTCCTTCTCACAGCCTGACCTTTTCCCAAGGCCCTGCTGGTCACTCACATGGGCCAAAGCAGAGCTGAGGTCTGGGCTGGGGTTTGCCAGCTGTCCTTGGTTCTGTAAGGAAAATGGGTTTTTTTCAGATTTCTATTCAAACACTTTCCTCCCAAACTCCTGAGAAAACAAGGTGAAATAATTTACAGCTGGTAACAGAGCTATAAATTATTATAATGGAATAATTACACTAACATTCAAAGGGGGATTCAGCTTACACTTTATTTCATAATTATAAATCATGAAGTATACTTTACTCTGTTTATTTTCATGTGAGAAAATTATTGCTGTTGACCCACAGACACTTTTGTGTCCATGTGAAAGAGAGAGAATCTGATTTATTTGTAACCACTCATTAAATAAGGGCAGAGCCCAGTTCTGACTGGGATCAGTGAGAATCTCTGCATTTGCCATTAGTAGGGGTTAAATGAAACAGTTCAATTCTGGGTTTGTTCTACGTCAAAACAAAAAAAAACAGTTTAGATTTTTTTTAGAGGTAGAAAAAACATCAAAACAGTTTTTTATTTGTTCAAAATCAAAAAAACCAAAACCAGTTCCTTCTGGTTTTGTTCTACATAATTTTAAACTAGAAATGTGGCAAATTGTAAAGAAGGAATGAAAACCTTTTGGGTGAATATTCACCCACTGAGGGGAATCAACGCCTGAGATGATATTAAATATCTCTTTTCTGTGAAAATCTGATTCAATACCAACAACCAAAAAAACCCCAAAGCTGCAGCTAACTGAAAAAACATTGAAAAGAATGCAAGCAGGAGGAAGCAGCGTGGTTTGGAGCAGCTGGAGGGTGTCTGAGGAGCTTTTTGCTCACGGCTTTCCCTGCCCTCAGCTACCAGATCAACGCGCGGACGGAGCTGGCCGTGCGCTACAACGACATCTCGCCGCTGGAGAACCACCACTGCGCCGTGGCCTTCCAGATCATCTCCCAGCCTGAATTCAACATCTTCTCCAACGTGGACCAGGACCAGTTCAAGCAGATAAGACAGGTAGGAATGCTGCTCCTGCACGCGGTTATAAACGCGCACGGAATTCCCTGCTCCGCGATGGGAGTGGTTCATCCTCCCTGGAGGGCCAGGCTGAAAAAGCCCCTCACACTGGAAGGGTCCAAGAGAAATTCTTGGAAAATTTCCACAGCAGCACTCCCTGGAATGCGTTGAGGAATAATGAGTACATCCTGATTATTAAAGCCTATGACATTTTGGGGTAGATGTTTATACTGCTGGAGGAGCCAATTAGCTCTGACTGGGGAAGGTTTAAGCTCTCAGGGCAGAAGTTTGTGCTTTGCAGGAACACTGTATTCATTTTAAGAGGGGCTTAAAAAGGGGAAAATATTTGCAACAGCAGAGCACTTGTACTGTTGGAAGAGGCCCTAGTGCACTGGGAGTCATCACAGTTATCTCTGAGGCACTGAACAATGTTACAATTCCCATCAGGCCTCTAAGGGCCAAAATTCAGTCTTAATTTCCACATTACACCTTCCTTACACACCAAGTGAAGAAGCAGTATAAAGGCTGGTTGGAGTTCCTGATTCTGCCAGTGTGTGGGAAACTGGCACGGGCCCAAAATGGACTGTTCTGTATGAAAACCCACAACTTTAAATTAACCACATGTTTTCCCATCATAAGCTCTGCACAGAAGGAGGAAACAGCTCCTTGTCCACATCCAAGTGTTTCAAAGCTCTTAATCCAAAGAGGATGGGCACAGCTGGCATCCATATCATGATTTTTGTCTCAGGGCCACTAAGAGTCAGCAGCAAAACCCACAGTGCCTTCCAAGGAGGGGAAAGTGGATCTTGGCAGCCAGAGTGTGGCTTTTAACATCCTGTTGTACAGTTTGCTTTTCTACAATTAGTCAATGAGAAAGAAAAAACCTCAGTGTCTCTGGAATATCACATAAAACCATGATCCTCATGTACCACGAACTCTTTATAACCCTCTTCCCATTTCCTTGGCAGTTCCAAGTCAGAAATTTCCCCTTCCAGCATGAGCAATTCATTGCATCTGAGGCATTTTGTGTGCAAGACAGACCCTACTTGGCTTTGCAATAGCAGACCTTGTAAGGAATGTCAAGTTAATATGTGAACATGTTTTCTTTGCTAGGGGATAATTACGTTAATCCTGGCTACAGACATGGCGAGACATGCAGAAATACTGGATTCTTTCAAGGAAAAAATGGAAAACTTTGATTACACAAATGAAGAACACATGACCTGTGTAAGGAGGTTTTGTGGATTGTTATTTTTCTGTGCATGGAGTGAAAGCTTGTAGATTAACTTTTGTTTGTTGAAAAACTGAGATTCAATATATATTATAAAAAAATAATCCATCCTACACCAAAAAATAATTACAATTTGGAAGTGCTCTATATTAAGTAGATTTTTCCAACTTTTGAAATCCTGGAATCCCATCAGGAAAATAAAAAATTTTACTCTATTAGGCCACAAAATCTTATAATCCTTTACTGTGGGGCAAAAAAATTCTGTAAGAGTAAAACCCGTAGTCTTCTCTATTCCCCAGTGCAGTTGTGTTTGATTCCCAGGGAAATCTTTTCCCAGCTGCCTCTGAGTGCTCCACAAAAACCTTAATGGTCACTTGTGACTGAGTCTCTTCCTGCAGCAGATAAGTGCACATCCCACTGTGACACATGCCAGAGGGGCAAACCAAGGCAGAGAGGGGATAAGTGATTTACACAGAGCAGCTGAGAGAGGGAAAAAAGGATCCAGATCATTGAAGACCTCTGGTTAAATCCTGAAATTGTCCTTTCTGGTTGAAAGCATTGCCTCCCAGTGCATTGCAAGGACAGGGGTTGTGGAAAGGGGGAAAAGGGCTGGCTTTGGGAGTGCAGCATTGAAGTGTTATCCTCTTTCAGCTGAAGATGGTACTGATAAAATGCTGTGACATCTCCAATGAAGTCCGCCCGATGGAGGTAGCAGAGCCCTGGGTAGATTGCCTGCTGGAGGAGTATTTTATGCAGGTAAGAGTGAGGAAGAGACGCAATTGCACAATTTCACAATTTTCTGCTATTTCCAAATCCCACAGGTGCTTCACTGACAGCCCACTCTGGTTCTAGCTCTGAACTACCTGGTTTAGTGGAAGTTTCCCTGCCCATGGCAGGGGGTTGGAACTGGATGATCTTTAAGGTCCTTTCCAACCCAAACCATTCTATGATTCCATGGAAAGCTTCTTTTACAAAAAGTCAGAGAAGGATGCCAGCAAAAGATCCTGCTCAGCAAGCAAGTGGATGCAACTCATTTTCTCTTTTAATCATTAGTAAAGAATGAGATATAATTTCTGTTTGAATACCAGAAAATAATCACTCTCTGGAGAACAATGAGGAAATCACAGAACTATTCCATCTCTTTCAGAGCAGCAAGAGCCATTAGCAGCTTTCTGAATGCTCTGAAATATTTTACCTCACAAGTCCAGTGGGTTTGGAAAGACAGTCAGCAGCCCTGCAAGCCTGGAGTGTGAACACTTTGATGCTGGTGCTGAGCAGAAATAACTGAACAGAAATCTCTTTATTCAGATGTTGCTCTCCACAAAGCAGAGACATTGGCCTGAGGGAAGCACATCACTATTCTGTGCTATCTACAGACACCTCTGTGATCTGCATCTGAGGGCTGCTCATCTGCTTGGTGCATCGCTCTCCCCACAGCATGCTAGACAGGATTAATATTTGTTATCTCTGCCTTTGTTATCTCTGGGTTGTTCCTCTGGTTGTTCCAGAGTGACCGAGAAAAGTCCGAGGGGCTCCCGGTGGCGCCGTTCATGGACCGCGACAAAGTGACCAAACCCACGGCACAGATCGGATTCCTCAAGTTCGTCCTCATCCCCATGTTTGAAACAGTGACAAAGGTAAAGTCACCCAGGGCCAGAAACCAGAGAGGGGGACAGCAGAGCTGGCAGTGTTTGCCCCCACCTATTGTATTTGCGGGGTTCCCAGAGGAAGGAAGGAATGATGAATCTGACTCCGTATTCTTAGAAGGCTAATTTAGTATTTTATGATCTATATTATATTAATTAATATTATACTAAACTATACTAAAGAATACAGAAAGGATACTTACAGAAGGCTAAAAGATACTGATGAATCTTGTGGCTCTCTCTCCAGAGTCCAACACAGCTTGGCACTGATTGGCCAATGAGTCAAAACAATTCACATGAAACCAATAAAACAATCACTGGTTAGATAAACAATCTCCAACCACATTTCAAAGCAGCAAAACACAGGAGTAGCAAATGAGATAATATTGCTTTCCTTTTTCTCTGAGGCTTCTCAGCTTCCCAGGAGCAAAATCCTGGGTGAAGGGATTTTTCAGAAAATATGACTGTGACACCCATCAGGTGTTTAGTGTCCCAGGGAAATGGGGATGTACCTTCCACACCCCATTTTCAGCATGTACAGTTAAATAATGCAGCAAGTTGAGGAATGCAAAAGGAAATGCTGATAGTCTTTCTCTTGTTCCCACCCAGCTGTTCCCAGAAGTGGAGGAGGTGATGCTCCAGCCTCTGTGGGAATCCAGGGACCACTACGAGGGGTTAAAACAGATAGATGATGCTATGAAAGAGGTAAACTCCAATTATCTCCTTGATACAGCAAACATTATAATTGAATAAGCCAAAGATTATAATTAAGCAGCAGCTTAATTCTGAAACAGTGGGAATGCTTGTGGCATAATCATTATCCTGAGAAACACATTCATTACACCTGCCTGGAGAGAGGTGTGTGCCACAAACAGTAAAAACACGTCCTTGCAGAGTCTACCAGGAACCACACAAGTATGGGCACGGGACAGGAGCTGCTTGCAAGGCACAGACCCCAGGGATAACCCCTGAAGGGAGCACAGCTCTCCCTGGAGGGATCTGCCCTCCCTTGGGAAGGAGTTTGCCTGGGTTACACTGCAGCAAAATGTTCTGGGGTTGGGCAGTTCAAGGCTCTGCAGCGCCAGTGCATGAGTTTATTTTCTGGGAAGGAACTTCCAGTCACGTGTGTGTCATCGAGGATGGGCTTGGCATTTTATGAGGAATCACTCAGTCATGCAAAGCACCCAGGAGGATTAAACACACAACCAGTGAAGTCCTTTAATTGCCCATTGGGGACTTTAATGTACAGAGCATCTCTCATTTTCTAAGGCTCAGGGGAGGTGGGAATTCCAGGTAACCACATTTGCTGTCTCTCAGCAGCTCTGCATTGCCTCAGGAGCCTGGCAGGGCAGAGAGCAGCGCCCAGGGCAGCAGTCAGAGTGCTGGTCCAGCTCCCTGCAGCCTGTGACAGCTCCCTGCACTCCTTTCTTGCACACCTCTTCCAGTGCCTCTTTTCCCTGCCAAGATCCACAGCAAAACCTGCCCTAATGGCATCGCAGAATAAGGAGTTTCTGACGTTAAAAAAATCACCATGTGGGCAGGCTACTATCAGCCACTCCATCATTGAAAATAAGTTGGGAAGTGCCCTGGAGCACCAGTTGTGCTGGTATTGTTTGGTATGTGGGTAATGAAGGTTCCTCCACTTGATCATCCATGAGTGGAACAGTGGCTTTGCTGTAGCTCCCCTCTCCTCCCAAGTGCTTTGGAGAAAAAGCCCCTCTGCAGTTCAAGTACTGAGGCTTGTTGATCAAAGTGCACAGGCTCTGAGGGCACTAAATTTTAAAGGAGAACAAAGCCTTTTAGCATTTTTTGATTTAGACAGGAGCATTTGTCAAACAAGGGCAGTGCACAGGCTCTGAGGGCACTAAATTTTAAAGGAGAACAAAGCCTTTTAGGCATTTTTTCATTTAGACAGGACCATTTGTCAAACAAGGGCGAAAGAACTCAAATACGACTGCCAGACTTTCTGAGTTTTATTCATCTTTCAAGTTGAGCTGAGATTTTACTTCTGGTTTACAGAAGCTGTCAAAACAGCATTTTTATACAAACTGATGGAGCTTTAATTACAGTGTATTGGCACAAGAGGCCTTAAAAAATAGAAGCTGCTTGAATTCAGAAGTATTCTGAAACAAGAGAACTTAATTAATAATCTGAGAGCCTAGTACAATAGCTGATGAGAAAAACTAAAAACTGAGTTCTGTTTACCCAGGACATTCATCCAGAGCAGTTTGGATGAAACAATGCCTGTGATATTCCAAGCTGCTGCCTATTATTTCCCAGGAAATGTTGCACATGCCTTGTAGAGAGCTGAGCGTGGGACTCACAGCAGCACTGTGAGTGTGAGTCAGGGGGGATTAATCCTGCTCTGCTCTTCATTCCAGCTCCAGAAACAGAAAAGTGAAGGTTTGACCCCCGGCAGCACCGAAAAGTGAGAGGAAACAGCCTTTGAACAAATAAACTACGAGCTTTGAGGCTACTCTGCTTTGAGAAATGCTGTATTAGCCAAGCAGAGGTGGTGGCTATGTCAAAACCCAAGTGGGACCATGCAGGGAGAGATGGATCCACAGCCTGCAGCCTCCCCACAGAGCTGCTGCTGCCGTCGGACACCATGCGCTCCCCAGACTCTGGCATTCGCTCCACAGCCTCCTGGCAGGATTGCCCAGGTTCCTGAATTGTCACCACAGCCCTCCTGGCAGGATTGCCCAGGCTCCTGGACTCTCACCACAGCCCTCCCGGCAGGATTGCCCAGGGTCCTGAACTCTCACCACAGTCTCCTGGCAGGATTCCCCAGGCTCCAGCATTCCAGCCACAGCCTCCTGGCAGGATAGCCCAGGTTCCTGAATTGTCACCACAGCCCTCCCGGCAGGATTGCCCAGGGTCCTGAACTCTCACCACAGTCTCCTGGCAGGATTCCCCAAGCTCCAGCATTCCCACAACAGCCTCCCAGCAGGATTCTTCTCCCTGTGCACAGCTCCACCCTTCAGCAGATCTGCCTTTCTGGCGACCCAGCTGCCTGCAGTCTGTAGAGACAAATCAGAGTTTAGCTAAGGAGCCTTTTTTGGGACATGGTCTGTTTTAGTCAAGATACTCTCTATATGTGTACAGCAGTTGCTAATTGCAGCATAGCTCACCAGATGCTTACACACTGACAAGGGTCCAGGCATACATTTTTATTTGCCTGGTAGGCCCTAGTGACACATTTCTGCTCATTATTCTCTGAATTTTATAATGTTCACAGTACATGCAGAAGCCCAGCACAGTGGATGCAATTTTCTTTTTTTTTTTTTTTTCCTACACTAGAAGAAATCAGAAGAAACCTTAGTGAGTTTGCAGGGTCGCTTTGTGGCCTGGTACAGCTGGACACCATGGGATCCTTCAGCATGAGCAAAGAAGGGAGCACAAAGCTGAAAAAACCACGGTGCAAACACATTTTTAAATTTTCTGATGCAAAAAAAAAAAAAAAAAAAAAAAAGGCCAACAAGAGACACCTTCAAAGATGTACAGATTTTTTTTTTTAACTTTTAAACCAATCTGCTAAATAATATATTCTTCTACAGAAATGGCTGTTATTGTTTCATTTTGTGTATGTTCACATGAGAACAGTCCATGTTCCTAAAGACCAAGAATGAATACAAGGGAAGGGGCTGTACAGGAGAGGAGAGAGATGGTTTTCCTTGGAGGAGAAGCCTTAGAATTATTCCTGTGGTACAGCATGGAAAGCTTCAATTCCATTGATGGTTTAGTGATGGTTGGGAGCCAAGCTCTGCCCAGGTGTTGGAACAGTGAGAACAGACAGTGCTGGGATTGATTCCTGTGTACACCCTCACCAAAGGGAAGGCTGGAATAAATCCCCCACAAGAATCAAGCCACAGCCATGCTGCTCACCTGGTTTCTCCCAGCTGGGAAAGGTTGTCCTTGCTGGGGGTTTCAGGCCTCCCAGGTGTGGCTGCTGGGAGCAGGGATTCCTCGCACCCAGAGCTGGCATCTCCCACAGTGGCAGTCACAGGCATGGACACTGCTCAGGTTCCCCCTGGCTCCCCAGCCCTGTAAATCCCAAAGCAGCAGCTGGTTTGTCAGAGGGATGAGCAGAAAGGGGACAATCTTTCCCCCCATGGCCCAGGAAACGCTTGAGGCAGCTCAGCCTCTCTCCAGGTCTCGGGTACCAGCCCTGAACAGCAAATCCTGCCTCCTGCTCTGGAAATTCAGATTGTTCTCCTGTTGTTTCTGCGCGTTAATCCTGAGTTTAACTCTCGTTTCTCCCCCAGTGCCATTTCCTGTGTTTGGTCTCTTTCATTGGCATACAAACTGTGTTATTTCAGTTACTCTCCAATCTCTCAGGGAGATCCCAAAACTTCCATCCCTCTACTCTGTTCCTACCTGGAAGTTTCCAGAGACCCAGGACAGACTCACAGCCAGTTCTGTCTGCTGGTGCCTCCTCCTTTAAACAGCCTTTTGTGTGTGGTTTTGGGCTTTCTGCTGCAAACTGGAAAGGGCTCTGATCCCTGGATTTGAACAGATCCCAAGGGAAATGGAAAGATCCAAGCCCAGGGTCAGCTCCAGCTCACACAGACATCTTCATGAATGGATGAACTACACCCTAGTTTTGATTAACCTCAAACTTCTGATGCTTGAAGGTCAAATCTGAATTGTGCAGTTTGTGCCCTTTTTCTTTCCTAAATCTTATAATCCAAAGTACGTTCCCAGATTGTTCCTCTGTGGAATTCTTCACCACTTTTGCACAAGTAAATGGAATTTACCATCTCCATTCGGGCGGATTTCCGTCCCAAATCAGCTCCCAGAGCAGATGAGCTGTGCAGGAGCCATGAACAATGGCTCAGGCCTTGCCAGCTCTGCACTGAGCTACTCACACCAGATGAGAAAACCTGCTGTACAAACTTCACTGCCCCCTCCTCCTACTAAAACTGCCCAAGAGTTAGATCCTCATAGGAAGTTTTGTTTCAGATGGAAGGGTTTTCTCTGACCACAAACCCAAATCCAGCAGTTATTTATCCATGTGCTTAGCTCCCCCCAGCCTAGCCATGGACCCTGGCACAAAGGAGCCTCAGGCTTCTTGGCTTTCTCTGACTGAAGGATTTTTGGGAATTGATGGCTTGTTTTGGCCTCCACCATTTTTAGGAGCAACGAAAAAAACTGTTTACTGCAGAGAGATGAACAAAAGACGTTGATGAAATCCTGCTGAATATTTTGGAGCTGCATCAGAAACGTGGAAAAAGGGAATGCAACCCATCCTCAGGGCTGCAGTAGTGACTGTGCTGATGCTGTAATGTGCTGTGAGGGTTATTGAAAGAACAGGCAACACCCAGGCTGCTTTCACAGGCAGCTGTAAAATTAAAAAAAAAACCCCATGCAGTCATAACCAGCTGATGGTATAAATGGAAATACCCAGTATTTTTTTTTAATCTCATTTGTCTTTGTAATATTAGATTTCTATGAGACAGTCCTCCCAAGATATGTTTAACCAAGGGAAATGCACAGCATTCTCTCATAATTCTAGTTTCTTATGCTTTTCCCACAATATTTAACATTGTGATTCATATGCTAATTAAAGGATTTGAGAATCCCAGGCAATCAGCCCATTAAAATGTCACACATTTTCAAGGTGACATTTTAAAACCAGACTTAGCATGAGAATGAAGTTTTTTGAGGCAGGGAGACAGATGTCTGAGTGTGATTTAATCTTTTCTCCCCCGATTCCAATGACTAAGAGTGGGTATTGTGTCTCAGTGTTGTTTCTGTTTACAGTAGGTGTCTTACAGAGAATTTTCTATGACCTGTTGCAGCTTTCAGCATCATGACAGTGCCAGGTGCACCCCAGCCTTGCATTGCTGTCCTAGACTTGTGATCAAAGCTGAACATGAAATGGGTTATAACAATTCCACACCACTTAGCCTGGGAAACTAATGATGAGCTCTGGGATTTTACTTCTTCTTTTCTTTTTATTTAAAGATGTGAGGTCCCACAGCCCATTACTCTGTGTTTTAGTATGGTTTGATAACCAGATCAAACTAAGGCTGCATGTCTTGGGAGGGAAACAGCTTTTTTTAAATGTGAGTGCCCCCACAGCAGCCAATTTACAAGGGAAATTTAGTGTCTGTTAATACAGGAGTCATGTAATACCACAGGAGTATTTGCACATGGAAATGGTTCATCTCAGAGCTGCCTCTGAGCAGCAACAACAGCATCTGCCCCATGGGGGAGTTTGAGCCTGTCAGGAGAAGCACTGCCATGCACTGTCCAATTTTCCCATTTTGAACAGCAGTTTTTTGCTGCAAACACTCTGCTTTTATTCTCCTGTCATACTGTAAAAATTTCTGTGAGAGAGCAAACAGAGTGGGCAAATCACCTACCCCACTAACACAAAATCTCCTCTCTTTGTCTGTTTCCCATCTCCTTGGCTTACCTGTGGCTGTAAAACAAAGGATCAAGCCTGCCAGGGATGAGGAGCACTCAACCCCCAGCCCACAGGAAGAGTTTATAGGAAAGGAGCCTCATGCAGGGCCATCCAGCTGCTGCTCTGACTCCCAGCTCAAAGAAATTACTGTCCAAGAGGCTGTTCTGGGGCCTCCTGAGCCCCCTTCTGTATGCACCACCCTCTTCCACACAGCACCCTTGTCAAGAGGATTGTTTAGTACCAGAAAAATGCAGCAAAATCTTCCTGAAGTGTGTTTAAAATGGAAGAGCTTGGATGCTCCTTTTCTAGGCAAGATGGGAGAGCAGCAGGTGATCTCTCCTTTCTCTCAGAGCACTCCAGGGCAGTGCCTAGGCAGAGATGTAGTTTGGACTCTGAAGAAATGGGGCATTGGAGGTCTGTGTGTAAATGCTGTGATAGCACAGAACAACAGTAAGTCATAATAATAAATTTAATAATCTGTCACTGGCTTCAAATCCCTTCTGGAGTGAGTGAGCAAGCCAGGGCTTCCCTCTCCTCTCAAACAGGGAGAGCCACATTTGTAAAGCACCTTGTGGTTTTTTGGATGCAAAAACCAACAGTACCGCTTATAAAAAAATAAAAACTTCTGGCCAAACCCACTTTTTGGATGTCCTGATAAAGGAAGGAGCTGTAACCAACAGGTCAGACATGGTGGTGTAGCAAATCTGGCTCTTGGCTAGTGAGAAGTCAAACTCACACACACAAAAAAAGCTTTCTGGCTATTTTGGCAGGTAGTCAGGAATCACAGGTGTACTCAGGCACAAGCACACACATAAAGCAGCTATCTGTAGACAATTTTGTAATGCCACTCTTGGCTCTGTTGCAAGACAAACTTAGAACCAGGAGGGTTTGGAAAGTGCAAACCGGGGTTGTCACAGCCAACGTTTGCTGTAAAGTCTCTGAGGAAAAATCTGTTTTCCAAACTGTGTGGAAGCACAGTTACAGCCTGGCTGGCAGACCCAGCAGATCCTCTGCCCTAAAGCTCCAAACTGACAGGGACTTGGAGCAGCTCTGTCATTTTATACAAAAAAAAAACCCCAAAAAAACCAAAAAAACCAAAAAGCTTGTTCTCAGCCCACTGATGGTGCTCTGGGCTCAGGACAGCTGGGACACATTCCAGGCTGGAAAATGGCATGAGAAAATCAACAGAAAACCACATAAATCCTCCTCAAATTTGTGTGCCCAAGCCATGCCTTCTGGATTGCCCAGCTAGCAGCTGCCCTGGGTAAGCCCTGGAAGCCAATTTGTCCCTCAGCCCTGCTGCTACCCTTTCAGGGCTGGCCAAAATTACAGCTTGTTATTCAGGGCATTGGCAAAACATGCCTTAAGCACCAACAGGCT